GCCCTTTGTGATATAATTTTGATACTATATTTTGTAATTTAGGGTTTATAACATAAGCTAAATGTGATAAGTTTTTGATCTATTACCCAACTCAGGCTGTCAATTATTACCCACCTCACCAATTTGATTTATTTTTGACAAATTATCAGAAAATTTCAAGTGAATCAAACATTGTCTGTGTTGGAATTCGATAAATTGGTGGTAAAGATCCTATCTTGGTCTAATTTAGGTTCCTAATAAGCTGTTAATCAGAAACACCCATGATAGTTTTGGTTTGATTTCAAGAATATAGTCAACATAATCACATGTGGTTTTACCATTTTGCTTTTATTCCCCTTTAATCTAGTTGAATATTTAATTACAATATTAAGCATGTTATAGTAAATTCTGGTTAAATTGTGGTTATGCATTTAGTCTAGACTTGCACTAGTTTTATTTATTAATTATTATTATTTTTGTTTGTTGTAGATAAGGACACATGCAATACGCAGAGCTCATGAGAACATTGATAAGACTTTGAAGGCTGCTAATGTTATATTGAACAGATTTGATCTTTCTCGCGAGGTTAGTTTTTGTTAACTTTGAAGGACGCTATTGTTTATATATTTCTCAAATCCCTAAAATACCCTTCAGACAAATATAAGTCGCTTCTGGACCCAAATCAAAATATCATAATTTACTTTTCCAATATGTAGGCGGAGTCTAAAATAATTAGAGGTCCACATGAGGATCTTGAAGGCTATCTTGAAGCTATTGAGAATCTAAGAAGCAATATTCGTTTTTTTACAAACAATAAAAGCTTTAAGAGTAGCGATGGGGTGCTTAGTCATGCAAATAATTTGCTTTCCAAAGCTATCTCCAAACTCGAACATGAATTTAAACAACTTTTATCATCATACAGGTTTCTTCTACATCTACTCCTCTAAAATATTAATGAATGTTGTAAATGTAATTATCTACTTATTGTATTATAAACTCTTTCAGTAAACCTGTGGAGCCTGATCGTCTATATGAATGCCTACCTAATTCCCTACGCCCCTCATCTGGATCACCTGAAACAAATGCCAAAAATCCATCTTCTCATAATGATCGAATCACTGCAGAAAATGCTGTTTATAATCCTCCTGTCCTCATTCCACCTCGTGTGTTGCCATTGTTACATGATCTAGCTCAACACATGGTGAATGCTGGTAATTCTCAGCAGTGCATGATCATATACAGGTAAAAAAATTAGTAATTTTTTAAAAAAGATTAGTGGTTTTTATATAGAAATTTAAAATTTTAGGGATACACGTTCTCAAGTGCTTCAAGAAAGCCTTCATCAATTGGGGGTGGAGAAGCTTAGTAAAGATGATGTTCAGAAGATACAATGGGAAGTCTTGGAGCTAAAAATCGGGACTTGGATTCATTTTATGAGAATTGCAGTAAGTTGTTGGTGTTGAATGTTGATAGATTCCTTTATTGTTGATGATTTTGAGGAAGTTGTTAATCATGATTCATGTCAAACAGGTGAAATTATTGTTTGCAGCAGAAAAAAAAGTTTGTGATCAAATGTTTGAAGGCATCGAGTCCCTTAAAGATCAGTGTTTTGCTGAAGTTACAAAAGGTAGTGTTGCGATGTTACTTAGTTTTGGAGATGCAATTGCTAAAAGCAAAAGATCACCAGAAAAGTTGTTTGTGCTTTTGGACATGTATGAGATTATGCGTGAGCTTCACTCAGAGGTATGTTCATGTTCTCTATCGACATTTTACATTCATGTGTTTTTTGATGAAGAAATTTATGGTTGTAACTTGTAAGTGGATGATTATTTGCAGATTGAGATGCTTTTTAGTGGTAAAGCTTGCAAGGAAATCAGAGAAGCTGCAGTTGGTTTAACGAAACGACTTGCACAAACAGCAAAAGAGACATTTGGAGATTTTGAAGAAGCAGTTGAAAAAGATGCAACAAGAACTGCTGTTGCAGATGGAACTGTTCATCCTCTCACAAGCTACGTCATCAACTACGTCAAATTCTTATTCGAGTAAGCTATAATCAAAACACACAAAATAAAAAACGCTCCAATTTCAACTTCTTTCGCAAAATTATCCCTCCAGTTTCAAATTTTTATGCAAAATAACAGCTCGATTTCACGTTTTCAGCTATCAATCAACACTTAAGCAACTTTTCCAAGAGTTTGAAAAGGGAGACGAATCAAACTCTCAACTTGCATCTGTAACAATGCGAATCATGCAGGCTCTTCAAACCAATTTGGACGGAAAGTCAAAGCAATACAAAGATCCTGCGTTGACCAACTTGTTCCTTATGAATAACATTCATTATATGGTCAGATCCGTTCGCAGGTTCATCATCCAAAACCCTAACTTGTTAATTCGGTAATATCAAAGCTTGATTTTTTACTGAAAATTTCTTTCTGCCATTAGATCCGAAGCAAAGGATTTATTAGGGGACGATTGGGTACAAAGACACAGAAGAATCGTACAACAGCATGCTAATCAGTATAAAAGGATCGCATGGGCAAAGGTATAAGGGCATTTACGTCTTTTTGTCCCATATTTTTTGAAATTTGCGATTTTATAAATTGGGGTATTTTTTTTTTTGGTTATTAGATCTTACAGTGTCTGTCGATTCAAGGGTCAACTTCATCAGGAGGTGGTGATGGAGGAAACAGTAGTGGGGCCTCACGAGCTCTTATAAAGGATAGGTTCGTCTTTTCACCACTACCTTTTTTATATAAGAAAAAACATTGAAAAATGGTATATTATGGTAATTATTAGGTTAAAGATTTTTAATCTTCAATTTGAGGAGCTTCATCAAAGACAATCTCAGTGGACTGTTCCTGATTCAGAGCTCAGGGAATCATTAAGACTTGCAGTTGCTGAAGTCTTGTTGCCTGCTTACAGATCCTTCATTAAGCGTTTTGGGTATGCTGTTTTTCTGATAAAGTGTTGTCTGGATAAATCATAAATGATGTTTAAAAAATATTTAAAGGAAAAATTAATTAGATCAAATTTGTAAAAAGTTAATAACTTAATGGGAAAGTCTTGTTTTCTTGATTTTCCCTATTAAGTCATTCTTTCTGTATTAAGTTAAAAAATTAAATAAATAAATACTAAATCCTAAACCATATAAATCCTTTTTAATGTTGTTTTGTTTTGTTGGTTATAGGGCACTTGTTGAAAATGGGAAGAATCCTCACAAGTATATAAGGTATACAGCTGAGGATCTTGATCGAATGCTTGGCGAATTTTTCGAGGGTAAGACATGAAAAAAAAGAGAGAGTATGCTCACGATAACAAGGGGATAAATATGTAATTTTTGCATACTCCGTTTGTTTAGTGTGTTTTGAGAGTGTATATTGTATGTAAACTGCTTTTAAAGCTTGTTTTGGTCATATGTTGTTGATTAGTGTTATTGTTAATGATGTTGTATGAGATACTTTGTGATTATGAATAGATTTAAAAGAAGTCGATGTGTTTCTTGTTCCCTTTTGATTGTAAGTTGTAGCCTAATTTTATGTGTAAAAATAGCAACCCAATTACAATTTCTTTCATTTTAGGTAACTAATTGCCCAAAATTGTAACCTACTTTTAACAAATTGCCTAAAATGAGAGAAATTAGTGCTAAATTTTCTATGTAATTTTGAGTTTTATTTTTGTTATTAAATGCTGCCACAACTTCTCTAAAACAGTACATGTATTTGTGGTGGTCGTTTTTGATTTAGGTTTATAGAAAACAATGTTTGACAAACCCTTCAGATATTAAAAAAATAAACCAAACCAAAAACAATTTATAATTTGTGATCAACGTTTTGAATAGGCAACTTGTTTTTATTTTTAGTTTTTAGAAATGCGCATCAAGAAAAAAAGTTAAATGGTAACTAAGTAAATCTCATTCGGTTTGACTATGAGCCGTATTAGTTGTTCGGATAAAACTCATTTTTTGAACTATCAAATCAAAATTCAAAACAACATATTTCAATGGGCAAAATACATAAAAACCAGGCAAATCTGTATAAATTGTGATTGTGGTTTTTGTGAATATTATGTTTAGTCTTTAGTTTTTTCGGTTTTATGGACGGTCATTGTGGTTTCAATTTCTTTTATGGTTGGTTTCTCATCCACATAAAAAGATTCTTATACCTTTTTTTTTTTAAATTTCTTTTATATTTTTAATAAAAATTATTAAAAAATAAAAATAAATGCCAAACGTTTCTTTCCTCCCCCTTACTACACCAGATACGTCTCTCTTCCTCCCCTTTCTTCTCCATCTCCGACGTGACTAGTGCCGCCCCTCATCTTCTTCTTTCTCTCTCTCTCTGGCAAGACCAACAATCTCCACCCACCTGCTTCTGGAAACCAACAAACCTGAACACTGCATCATCTTCGTTAAATGTCGTCGAACACCCTTCTTTTTCCGATCAACCCCGCACGACACAACCCTAAACCCCTAGGCCGTCGATGCTCCGTCACCACTTGGTAGAGACTTTGCCTCTTAGATTGGAAGCCCCAAAATTTTAATACGGGCATTAACGAATTTTACTAACTTGATGATATTAAATTCTAACCACTAACTAGTTGTTTAAAAAAATATAAAATATAATAAAAATGTATAAAAGTCTTTTTATATGAGCGAGAGACCTACACGATAGAAATTAAAACCACAAAAAGACTTTACATGAGACGGAAAAAAGTTAATGACTAAATCTGATATTCTTGAAAACCATAAGGACCATTTATGAAGATTTGTCAAAAATATATTATACTTTGGTTACTTTTATGGTTTAACCATTGTGTTTTATTTTCGTCTATTAAAACAATCAGCGTTCGACAAGTTTTTTCTATGTCATCAAATTGACATGTCATAATAGATTAAAAATATTAATTCCACATCAAAATTTTAGTAAAACCATTAAAACTTTTGTTAAAATGGACCACTTTTAACATGTGTAGGGACATAAATGAAAATGTAAAACTTGGTGACTTGAAACCGAAATTAAACAGGTCAAAGTTGAAGCTGATGTTAAAGGCGCGAGTGTCCCTCCCTCAGTATGTAAATCAATCGGCCATGGCTCAACCACGTAGCGCCTTTCAAACCCTCTCATGATTCGTTCCAATTTCCTTCTCGTACGTTCAATTTCTCCTCTTTCTCATCACCGGAATCCACTTTCTCCCTTTACAGTCTCTTACTCATCGTTTAACTTACCGGAATCCTCCATGGAAACAAACTCTAAAGGTGAACTGTAGTTCCTGAAAATCTATTCATCTCTTCAATTTCAGTGATGAAGTTCGAGTTGCAGGGAGTAAGTCGATTTTAGGGTTCTAATTGTTTTGTGTTTAATGTGTTTGTGAAGATTCACAGGAGCCAAAAAAAGATCAACACAAGGAAACAGCTCGTGATATTGATCCATTGAAGAAGGTGTCAGATGATATACTTCCTCATATCCTCAACCTGTGAGTTTGTGCTATTTGAATCCTATGTATTTGCAAGATTAACAATTTATTGATTAAGTAATTTAATTAATGTTTCTTATTTAAGGTATGGATCATGTGCCTTACCTCGGGATTTTGAAATTTATGCTCCTGATGCTTCATTTGAAGATCCACTCATGTGTGCTCATGGGTATAATTTGATAGCTTTTATTCTTTTAAAATGGTTTTATAAAAATAAAAAAAAATCATTTCTAATGACTTCTGATTTCAGGGTGAAGCAAATCAAGTCGGCTTTTTATTCTCTTTCAAAGGTGTTTAGTGAGTCAAGAATTGTAGAGTACAACATCAAAGAAAATATACTTCCTCATGGAAGAAGAGAGGTTAATAAACCTTTTACATTTATGATTTATCTTTATGTTTTCTTTTCTTTTGATGGTTTATTTTTTATTTTTTTATTTATTTTAAATTGTGACATAAAATAGATAGTCATTGACAACAAGCAATACTACAAGTTCATGGGAAAAGATATTGATATGATATCACTCATTAAGCTTTATGTAGAGGATGGGAAGGTCATTCGCCATGAAGATTGGTATAATATATTATTTCTGTTAAATAACATTTTCTTTAGTAGTTCTATTTTTTCTAAAAAAAATTGTTTACAGGTGGAACAAGAAGCCCCTATGGAATAGAGATACTTCTAATGTGCCACTAGTTGGAGGAATTATAGAGATGGCTCGAAGGGGTTCCATGTTGGCAACTCATGCTATGATGAAATTTGGGAAGGACCCAACTGCATAATCCTCTCTAGAAAGAGTAAACATTGTCATTTTTGTATCATATATCATATGTGTGTGTGCAATATTAGTTTTTTTTTTTACATCATTTACAAACTTCTGCAGAGTATGAGTTCAGGACTTTAACCGGTTGTGGTGAAGAAAATTGATTCGTAATCGGTTATGGTTATAGGGTTGGGGACTTTTTAACTGATTTTTTAATTTTTTTAATAAGATTTATTAATAAATAAAGTTTATTATTGTGGGAAAATAAACAATCGCCTAAAAAAGATTTTACTAGCTGCACCCATGACCTTGTAACTAATACCTAAGTTATTAATGCTTTTGTTTTGTCTAGTACAAATATTTCCTTGTTTCGACATTGCTAAAAAAACCATTGTTATACACCATTAAGGCAAAAACCTCGTCACTTTGGATAGAAACAGAGCAAAGAATTCTCCATTATCCTCATGTCTTCTTCCTCAAATCTGCATATATCTATCTCAAAATCATGCTTCTAAATCTTAAATTCTCACCAAACTCTACAACAATACATTATGGTTAGATTCCATGAAGTTTAGGAGTTTGGATGATAGAAACATCACTAAATTCAACCACAAACATTTTTTGAAGTCTAATTTCGAATTTGGAACCAAGACTAAACCTTATCCAGTTTTAAGTTAGAGAAGGACGAGTTTATACCTTTTTTTTGCCGGATGTTGAGTTCCTAGCTTCAAACCCTAGTTTCTTCTTCCATAATTTCACTTTAGATCTCCATTGAAGTATGAAACTTGCCCATGGGAGCTCTTTCCCTCTTCCAAACCATGTTACTCATTCAAACAGGGAGAACCCCCACTAGATACTCTCATATTTTCAATCTATGGCAAAATTAGTCACTTATTTCTCTTCTAGTATTAACACCATTTCCACTAGCTTTTTAGCAAAACTTTTATATTTCTCATAATAACCCCATAATCATCTTTCATTGACTAAATGTTCATTTACTAGGACAACACTTAACCTACAAGTTTGCATAGTTGTCATTTTTCTACATTTTTCACTTAAAGTCCATCTCACTTGTTCTCATATGATTATTTATCAACAAACATTATAAAAAAATCTTAGAATTATTATTTATTTTATCTTTATTTTTTATATTTATTTAATTAAAAGTTTAGTTAGCCCCTGTTTACCATATGCACATAAAGTTATACCATATGCACCTAAAGTTATACCGGTCCAATGGGTACAGGAACCGGACAACCCAGACCTAGACCTTGACTGGTCCGGTCCAAGGTCCACCAATTTTTGTCAAACCGGTCTGATTCAGTCCAAATGCTCAACCCTACTCCATAGCCGCAAAGTCTCGTGTCCATGGAATTAGTTCTTTAAAAGTGTAGCCCATTATCAGCTTGAAACTTATCACAAGCTCTTATCAATGGGAATTCAAAACAATACCCATAAATCCATAATCCACCAAAGTACTTCAATATAACCCTAATAAAACCTTTGTTTTATTTTTCGCATGAGGCAATCATATTAGGAATACTTAAAAATTCCTTAATGCGCCCTATAAGTACACAAATTTTATCAATTAGGGATGTTCAATCCGGCCATCTGATCCGAAAATCCGAACTAAAATTATAAGAAAATTGGATATCCGAAATTTTAGATAACCGAAATTTGGATATCCAATCTTACTGGATTCAGTTTCGGATAGTGATTTTCGATATTTTCTGATATTTTGATTAACCGATATCCATAAATATAATAATCATTTTCTATATTATTTTCTAAACATTTTTTTTCTAATACCTATTCATATACATGGTGTTGATTTGCATTTGTGTTCACTTATGTATATTAAAATGTATTATCGAGAGGCTCCAAATCATAACCTTGAGTTCTATTACTGTTATTTTTTTGGCTGCTTAATAGTTGAGTACTTACTAAATTAATAATTTGCTACAGTGGACACTTATAGCTAGACATTAGTTTGCATGATTTGAGTTGATAAAAGTGTTGTAATGATTGAGTCCCATCTTAAATATCATGATTAAATTATAATGGTTTGTATGGTTTAATTTGATAAAGGTTATTGTCCATTCAAGTATTCAAGATGTTATATGGTTAATATAAAGGGTATCATCGGTTTTTAATTGGATTAATTTTTTAAAATTTTGTAAAGATTTCGGATATCTGATCTAATATTTGAATATGATATAGATTCGGATACCAAAATCCACTATCCGAAATTTCGGATATCCAGTTGCCGACACCCCGTACTATCAATATCTTTAAAAACATTATCGTTTGCGTCAAGGTTAATAACTTCCTCTTGGTGTGGAAGGAGTCATGCTTATTTGGGTTGGTCGTGCCATTGGTACCTTCAAGACATCACTCCTTCATCAACAGGTTGGGAGTGGTGGGTTGATATTCGGGTTCACCAAGTTGCTCCCTTTTTATATCCCTCTCTCTATTCCCTCTATGCATTGGTTAACTGTATCTCATGTTTTAATATTTGTACCAATATGTTTTTAATTAGTCTGTGGATTAGTTTTGCATGTTTTTTAATATTTTATGAATTAGTTTTGTATGATTTTTATTAATTTGTGTTTATTTTAAAATTAAAAAGTGAGTGGGTTGGGAAAGATGAGTTTCCATGTGTTTTGAGTTGGGAAAGATGGAAGAAAGAAGGGAGAGAAACCTGATGTGGTAGTGAGTTGAGTGAGTTGGGAGGACTCCACCCTTAGAAATTCAACCTATCCTTCGTCTCTTCTTCAAAATTTGTTTTTCCCCCGACCATATTTGTAACACCTAGCCAAGCAGGTATTTCCATTCTCGACTAAAAATATTAAATTGTTGCAAAAATGGTCCTTACGCCCTGCGTACTTGAAGCGTATGTTGGGTGTAAGTCTTTAAAAGTGACGCGGGTGTTTATGAGTATGCAGGGCGTACTCAAAAGGGTACCCATGGCATACTCAACAGATATGCAAACCCTAAATCTGGGGTTTTGAGCCCTATTTAAACACCTTAACCTTCATAAATCCCTTCTACCTTGAGCCTCCATCCTCCCAAAGGACCCCTTGCAAACCCTAATATTAATTTGAGAGTTTTTGAGATATTGGAGTGTTTTGTGTTCATTTTTGAAGGAAGGAGATCAGTGGAGTGCACTTGGAAAGCTTCAAGCATTGTAGATGTGGGATTTACACCTCTCAAGAAACCTCCAGGAGGTATAAAGTTCTGAACTTGATGAGTGCTTCACTAGATCTTGTAAGTTCTTAAATTTTGTGCATTTTGGTCCCATAATCTTGGTCTAGTTGAGTATGAGCTACTCCAGACCTTATGAGTAGCCTTTTCATATGTTTTGAAGTGCATGGAGTCATAAAAATGTGATCTTGATCCTTTCCTTTCATCCATGCATGAGTATTAGGGCTTAGAATCTTGTGATGTGTTAGGATTTATGATTTAAGAGGTTATTTGGGGTTAGATATGAGACTTAGATGTAAGGAATTAAATGAATAAGCACTTAATGAGAATTTTGGGAGCTGATCGTGTACGCAGGGCGTACTGGTTTGGACCCCCGTAATTTGGGAAGGGCACTCTCTACGCCATGCGTAGAGATGGAGTACGCAGGGCGTACTTAGTCTGTGTTGACTTTTTGACTTTTGACTTTGACCTTTGACCAAGTTTGAATTAAAGGCATTTTGGGTAATTTGAATAGTAGTTTGAGATTAGGTCCCTGTTTAATGTTTAGGTGACCTGTAAAGACAACATTTGAAGCAACGATCAGTCTAACTATCTTTCAGACTGTGAGATGGGTTTTCCTCACTGTACTTGTGGGTCGAAGGCACCAATGCCGAACCACTAAGTTATGCATCCTAGTATATATATA